TAGTTAAAGACTAGTTGAAATTAAGTTTTATACCTATTTTTTTATTTTATTTTCGACTTTCAGTTACTTGCAGYGTTTAATTTRGCGAGTACAATTCACACATACATGGAAATTGCTCTTAMATATTGATTMAAAACAATSTCTGGGAKTTTTTGGTTGTCAAGCTAAGATTAATCTTTAGTTAGGGGAATTCTTGGAAGTACCAGCCAAAATAAATATTCAAAGGAGCCGGTACTTTAGTGAAGTCAGTTTCGGGGAAGTCCCACCACGTCAGGGGAAGCCCCCAACTTGCCTTTGTAAGTAGTAAAATGCGTTGTCATCGACCATAAAGAGCAAGGACATCGYTTTGAACGTTACCGTTACGAGAGTTTACAATTCAAAGAGCCAGTAAACTTCTTTTATAAAATCGCAAGCGTGAATACACGAACAATTTCCAGTTTATAAAAGTAAAGTTTCAATTGAAAAGGTATGTTTACATTTAAATAATGTTGAATTTATATCGTATCGTTATGCAAAAGCTTTTAGCAGACTATATACTATGAGTCATTTTTCAATATATTCTGTTAATTCGGGCCTTCTTAAACGCAAATTAATAAACGCAAATTTTGACTTGTAGTAGATATTTAGTCCTGTGAAAGTCATAAAATAGTCAGTCGCTTGAATCCTTGTGAAATTTTCGCTGTTATATTCGCTGCTTGTATCAAGAATATATTTATTGTAAAAAAGTTCAACCTTTTTTGCATGTTTCGAATGGTAGGACACTGTAGACTTCATCTGTACTGGTAGAATTTCAGGAGTAAATTAGTTTTGCTGGTATCCAATTTTAATTCAGTACATAATTTCACTTTTGTTTTCAGTTCACGAGCATGCAAAACTAAAATGACTCCTCGCATTAATAGACTCTTGATTGGTAAATTTATCTTATCTCCAACACAAAAAAGTGTGTGATTTTGGTTTTAGTAGTTTGGTTTTTTTTTCGGTCACGAAGAATTGGTTATTTTAAATCGTCCTTAAAGTACTTCCGGGGAAATCCCAGTTCTCTGATTGGTGCCATTGCTTGCATTACGTTGGGTTTCCCCGAAGCTTGTCAACAGACTAGACGCTCTCAGAGCGCGTACTTGGGCWACTTGGAGTATTGACTTTGAATATGAATGCCTAAACACGTCTCGTTTTGAACAGTTATAGCAAGCAATTACAATAGTTTTTAAATTTTCTTTCTATATAAACTACAGTTGAAATAAAAGATGCCAACGCTAATCAGTGCCAAGCGAAAAAAACTTCTTACGGAGAGATTGCCACACTTCAAAGACGAAATAAATAGAGATGTCTTCCTTCAACTCCTTGAAGCGTTAAATTGTCTTACTTTGGAGGACAAACAAGAAATTAACTGTGAGCTGACCAATCGTGGATCTATAAAAGCTACGGTGCTTTTAGTAGATCGTCTGAGACGAAGAGATAAGGGGTTCGAGCAGTTCGTGGTTGCACTTCGCGATAAAGGCCTGAATCATGTGGCATTGCTTCTTGATCCCAATGAATCCGGTGAGCATGTGACACAGTTATCGTAATAAACCCTTTTAGCGATCTCTTTTACGCTGTGCTAGCCTCAAAACCATGTAATAAATTCTTTTATTCACAACAGCCCGCGCAAATACAAGAGTGTAGAAGAGTGTAGAGGACAATGAAAATAGTTTGAAATCTCACGAGTTTTATCTACATTTCTGAATATTTTGCACACAATTGAGGCTAACACAGCGTAAAAGAGATCGCGAAACTCAACTATTTTAACACGTAGGATGAGACTTTGCAGTAAGCCTGGATGGCTTCCTCGGGAGCATACCTGCTGTTGAGAGGGTGAAGGGGGAAATTGTTGCGGTCAGACAGAAAGAAGGATTTCATGGATAGATAAATAAATGGCTGCAAGCTGGATGGACAGATGAATTAAAACGAGAAGGAATGAAGAGATAAATAGATGATTAAATGAATGGATGAAATCTTGTTTAATCATGCACACGGTTCAATTGGCCCGCCATATGTCAGTTTAGCTCATCTAGTTTGCATTTATAGTTGATCCAAGTGAAGCAGATGCATCAGTGGTGATCGAAAATCCTGAGAAATTCCAAACCATTGGGACTGCTGTAGGTAAGGTCAGGGTTGGCACAGAGTGTTAGATAATGAAAACCTGGGAGAGATAGTGGTTAAAAACGGAAACGTGGGGAGATCCGTGACTGGGGGAARGGAGGGAGGGATATGTAAGCAGTTATCATGAGTTATTATGACAAGAGCCGTGTGATGACAAGAAGATTAATCTAATTTTCTCGTAGAGAGCCTGCATCCCAAATAATCCATTCTCTAGATTCACCTCTTGGGAAAGACAGGACCATCTTTGTCAAATGCTGCACATGCGCACAACGTTTAATTCTCTATGATGGTGAATCTATTATTATTTTAATRCACAAATTATAGATGTTGAGGTGAATATGCAGATCAAGCTCGATAATGAGAGAAAGGTGGACTTTGAGAAGGCAGTGGCCAAGGAATACGAGGAGTCTTCAAAAGAAAACTCGTGTCGAATAAGAAAGGAGTTCAAAAAGGTGTGGAACTTTAATATAATTGCACTCTAACGATTGATTTAAACTAGAACAGTTTATTTGATCACTACATGAGATGATTCTTATTAGACTTTCACAAAGTCCCTCTCTCGCGCTCCGCGCTCGCTTTGTTTTTCTCGCGCTAAGCGCTCGGAGTTCTATTCTTTCTTTTTCTGAGTCCAAAGAGAGTCCGACTTGTAGCAAGTCTAGATTTTTTATGTGACTCACTCTAAACGGCGAAAAGACGCTCAGATAAAGCAGCATCGTGTCCCTCCATGAGATGTCGAAACTAATTGAGGACCATTGAGCATACTTGGACATGCGAAAATGATTGAAGTCTTTTTGTACTAAAATAAGGTAAACGCCTAATATATCTTTTCTTTTAATTTTCCGATTTGTAGCGAGAAATGCCACAAGGGATTGAATTTGTTCGAACCAAACCTAATGGAAAACAAAAAGCCAAAGACGAGAAGAAAGAGAATGACTCAAACGATGAAAATACCATAAATGAATCAGCTTCTAACGAAGACCACAACAATGATGAAATAAGCTGGGACGATTCTTGCAGAGTCTATTTCCGTGTTACAAGTGCTGAGGTGGCGAGGAAATTCTGGGAAATGTACGAAAGCGAAGAGCTTGAAGCRAAACTTCGTKRTGTCTTAGTGGAAAGTACCGTGCTTCGTTTGAGCATGCTTGATGGAGATGGCGAGTTGAAGTTGAGCTTGAAAATATTTGAGAGCAAATATCAAAAAGCGCTGGAATTTCTTGAAGGTAATTRTGAGTTTAACTTTGTTTGAAATCGTAAGCTRCGCCMAAGCAATTTATTTTTATTTCTAAGATAAAGAGTCTGAGCAAGATGTAGAAAGATCTGGTGAGTTGCTGAGAAGAGGTAATATTGCTTGACAAATGTTTAGAAGTGTTATTGTTTTAAATAGTCAGTTGAAAAAGACGATCACTTTGAGTATACAGGGTGACCTTCGCAGTCATCACCATCATCGCCATTATCATCATCATCATCACAAACATTATCATCTGCATTTCCATTTTTGTAAATAACATCATCAACAAGAAAAATGTTTTTTATGAAGATCAAAAAGCCGCAACACATCGCAGTCGATATCATCATATCTAATTAATAATTAAACAACATATAATAATCACATTCTACAGGCCCAGGCAACGAGTCACCTGACCTGGACGAAATAAATATCAAGATTCCAGAAGGTAAAAAAAACTCATAAAAACCTTTATTACACACGGTGGATAWATAAACGATTGCTGTACCAAAACAYTGTACATGTTACCTTGCAGTGCTTTCTTCAATGTGAATTGCACAATTGAAAGAATAAATTTAACATGCTTTGTCATAACAGTTTTGCTTGAAAGCCACACAAGCAACGAGCAGAAAAAGGACTTAGAGCTTCGTGAATATCAGAAAGAGCTAGCACGTCCAGCCATCGATGGAAGGAATGCCATCATCTGTGCTCCAACTAATAGTGGAAAGACCTTTGTAGCTATGKCGATAGCTAAGCACCATCTTGAAGGGTTTTCAAAGAAAGATGATGGTGAAGAATTGGGTAATGAACTATGCTTGTTATATTATTTATTCAAAGCTTCAAAGCATATTCTAGTCTTATTGTCGAACCTCTATTAAGCGTTCATCTTGAGAAACGACCAGTTGACCGCTTAATAGAGGTTGACCGGCCGTTTACTAGAGGTCACGTTTAAAGTGCTACTTGCATGAAAATGGACTTGTTTCAAAACTTCAAGAAATAAGAATATATGACTCATTTATATCTATTAAAAACAAGTGCGGGAAAATATTTGTTTTGGAATTATCCCACATCGGGAAAATTTTGATTGAAAATATGGAAGAACAAAAGGATGGAGTAAATGACGTCATTTACTCCAACATTTTTTGCAAAATTATTAAGGATTTGTAGCAATATCGTCTTGAAATCTGTTGCTTCATGATTATTAGACCCATATGGATAGGTCTATTTGATTTCCAAGTATTTTCTAATATTTCGCAATTTTCGTCCAAGTAGCCCTTTAAAATAAAAATTGTTTTCCCCTGGCGTACAAAATCTTTATATACGTCCCTTAAACAAAATGGCATTCGTATTGCGCAAAACGCAGTCCATTCATTTTGATTCGTCGTCTTCGCTTTGTTTATCCTACACAGCCGTTGCCACAAACASCACAAATAATGGAAAGCCAAAAGTAATTTTCATCGTCAGTACCCAGAACCTGGTGCTACAGCAGAGGAGCCGCTTTGAAGAATACCTCACAAACTACAGCATTTCCGACATATCGGGCAGTAACTCCACAGAAATCCCCCTTGATTTCCTCCTCAAAACCCATGACGTCATTGTATTGACTGCTCAGATACTGTTGAATGCCCTGCAGAAAGGCTCAGTCAAGATWTCCCAGATWACTTTGCTGGTGTTTGACGAGTGTCATCACACAAACAAGGATCATAATTACAACAAGATCATGCAAAACTATATGGCGTTAAAGTATCAGAGCGATCCGAACATAAAGCTACCACAGGTGAGTATAGTTGCGCCTTGATAAACATTGTCGTTGTTTTGGGACTCATCGAAAGGTAGTATGGGTAATGGTCACGTGACAATATACAACGATTCGAAAAATGCATCAGAGCAGCTATTCAGCCATTGAAAAAGCTTTTTAAAGAATAAGAATTCTTCGTAGTGTTATATAGGTGAGCAAAAAGGTTTTCAGTATAGAATTTTTTAAATTTTTTTAAATTTTTTTTTTATTTTTTTTTTTAAGTAAATTCTCCGAAGTTAAATCTTCGATTGAGTCAGACGTTCAAAAATCCCTATCCACAATCCTTTTCGGCCTAGCAGCTGACTATACATGCGGAATGTACTCGGTAAGTGTGCCATGTTAAAAAGCTCAAGCTACTATATCTTCATAGATCATTGGTCTGACTGCATCTCTTGGAGCAGGGARATCAAACGAGACTGAAAAGGCCAAAAACCACATCTTACAGATATGTGCCAACATGAACGCATCATGCATCAGCACCGTGCGAGARAATCTGGACGAACTGGAGAAGAACGTAACCGGAGGTGTGCCAAGACGCAAACTGGAAAAGGTTGACCAGCAACCCAACGTTTTTGAAAAAGTCATTGTTCAGGTAGTACTTATATTCGTTTATTTTCTCCTGGAAATCCATTTATATAATCATTTATTATTCAATGTGTGAAAGGTGATGGAAAAGATTGAAATCGCTGCACAAACGGTGTCCCCGACATCAAGTATACCGCCTGCTGACAGAGTTGGTCAGCAGTATCGCCAATGGGTGGAAGGCCTTGAAAAAGAAGCGATAAGCAAGGCATTACGTGATCTGTCTACGTATGCAAAACATCTTAGAAGGTACAAATATAATTCGATATGTTCTTTTAGACACAAACAGTGGCCATATGCCTACAAACATTCACTTTTTCTCTAAAGACCGACAATATATTCCGTGATGTTTTCTGCATGTTTTTTACCTTCCCTGGCCCAATATTTCCTTCCTCTTTCCCTTGAACCCGCCATTTCCCTGCTCAAGAATTCAAGCTTTTAGTCTGTGGCAAGAAGTATTATGGTAAACATGCATGTGACCTAAATAGCCAATGCTGATTGGACGTCCACCTTATGAATTATTAATGAATATGACGTTTATAATATAGCTACGACACTGCGCCCACTGGCGGGAAAGCTGTGGACATGCGCAGTGCGTTTTTCACCAGTGTCWATAGCTACCTCAAAAACGATMAAATCACTTGCTGCGCACTTGTTTAGACCTTTTTTTCGTGTTCAACAACACCTCYCGAGTGCCTTATTTCACCCATAAACGCATCAATCCATCCTATATTGCTTACGAGTGTCTATCTACTTATTTTTCATTAAACTAGATACCATATAGCTCTACTAATCAACGACACAGTCCGTACGAAAGACGCCATTCATTATCTTCAAGAATTCTTYGACAACCTTGACCAAGACAAGTTCCTATCATCGGACAAAAAGCTACAGGAACTGTTCGAGAAAGCTACAAATGGCATCAAATCCCGCATAGAAAAAACTGAACCAAAGAATCCAAAACTGGAAAAGTTGAAAGAGTTGATCTTGAATTTTCACGAAGAAGACAAAGTCAAAGATCGAAARGGCGAGACTAAAGGTATCTTGTTCACAAAGACCAGAGATTCCACGAAAGGTTTGATGGGATGGATACAAGAAACAGACGAACTCAAGTCAATTTTGAGACCTAAAGTTTTAGTCGGTGCTGGAGATGGAGAAGGTGTGTAAAATGTGCAAAAACAAAATTAAGTTTGAATAATGCAACTGTAAAGTTAACGTAATGATCTCAATAATGGGGACGCAAATATTATTTGACGAATAGAGCATGGATTAGTCTGGTTTGAGCGCACTTTTTGACAAAAAAAGCGCGCACGCCACAACTATCTTTAACTAATAAAACTAACAGAACATTTTGTATATTTTCAGTCGGCATGACTCAAGGCGAGCAAGAAGCCATCATTGAAGAGTTCAAAAAGGGAGAAGTCAACATTCTTATCGCAACAACTGTAGCAGAGGAGGGACTAGACATCGGAGANGTTGTAGACAAGTCGTAGGGGCATTTACACTGCGCGATTCAAGTCGTATACTACAAGTCGCACGAGACAATCGTGCCGTGTAAATCAGCCTTTACAAAACGCGCGTTAAAGCGAGTGTTCCTATATCAAAAACCGTATACTGTTATACATGTATCAAATGCCGGAAAGTACACATTAGAGTACTACCAGAACTCAACCCAACAACTATCTTTCACCAACAAGAAAAAACCTATGTATATTTTCAGTCGGCATGACTCAAGGCGAGCAAGAAGCCATCATTGAAGAGTTCAAAAAGGGAGAAGTCAACATTCTTATCGCGACAACTGTAGCAGAGGAGGGACTAGACATCGGAGATTGCAACTTTGTGATAAGGTACAACATGGCGGGAAACGAGATATCAAGTGTTCAGTCACGTGGTAGGATCAGAGCTGACGAAGGTAATTACGTGTACGTTGGAGACAGTAGGACAAAGGGAGTTAACCGAGAAAGGCTTAATCAATACCGAGAGATCTTGATGACGATGGCTGTGGAGCAAATACAGCAGATTCCACCTGATGAATACATGTCAAAGGTACGTTAGAGTAAAAACTCCCTTCCCCTTCCCCCTTATGGTTTCAGAATGACTGTATCAGCCTCGCACAGAAAAGAACTTTAATGAAAAGCAAATAAGTTTAAAATGGTTATTTTACAAAACACCTAGCGTGGAGTCTAATAATATGCAGTTTGATGGAGTATTCAGTATTCAGCGTCTTCTGAAATGTCGAGTGCAACAAGTATACATTATGATTACCTGGTCTTTTTGTTTAGATTAAAGAAATACAACAAAGGGACCTCAGAAAATTTCAAATGAAGAACTTCTTAACTCAGTCCAAGAAGATCAAATGCAAACAAGCGATCGATAATGTCGTTTTCTTCTGTCGACGATGTAACAAAAAAGCATGTCATCTGAATGAGTTCAGAAGAATGAAAGACAACTACTACGTGATWCTGGAAAAGGAATTCAAACACAGAATCAATATCAAGCCAAAGAAGAAGTCCAAGAAGATTGACGACGTCTTGATGGATTCTCAGGTAATTATTTGGTAATCATCACGATCACTTCAGTTATAATGTCTTGAAGCAATAATCCTTCCCCCTTATGACGTCATACAATGTTATCCGAAATGCACTATGGGATTGAAAGTACAAACGGAGGCCATGTTGTTGGTGTTTTACTTATAAAACTCAAGCATTAGTTATTACCACGATAGTTGTTTGAGTATACTTCTCTACGCCACGATAAGTCAATTCAAAAACAGTGGAATAGCGTTAAATTGAAAACAACTTCCTACTGTAGTTTTTATAGGACATGACGAAAATGACGTCATATGGAAAGGACCGTTGATATTTGTAGCTAATTATGCAATGATTTAAACAAGATTCAGTTGATAATAGTGACTCCATGCATTTATGCTATGCCAAGCTTACTCAACTCACGCTCAATTCTAGTTAAAACGGTCTCCTTTGGCACCGCATGTACACAGTCTCTCTCTGTTTATTTTTTTTTCGTCGATCACCAGTTTGAGCGACAAATCGAAAAATCGAGAAGCGAATACTACGACTTATGAAATTAGACTAGTTATATCTATACTAAATGTATTGAATTCTTTGGAACGAGAATTTTTCAAGTGTGGGTATAGTAACAAGATCGACAAGTGTCCGTAATACTGTAGTGTGTGTGCAATGTTGCGATACGTCCATAAGGCGAGAGTTGACAAAACATTTGAATTTGTTTTTCTCTAGGTCCATTGTAAAGAGTGCGATGAAGACTGGGGTGTGACAGTCAAAATAGATGGTCTTACATGGCCCTGCTTGAAGATAAGAAGCTTTGCTGTACAGCTTCCTGATAAGAAGCGCACAACATACAAGAAATGGAGTGATTTCCATTACGAGATCCCGGAGGCCACGATTGCGGAGATTATTGAAATGGATGACACGCTGGATGGTGATGACTT